ACAGCCGGCACGGAGGGAGGCAGGCGGCCCTGCAGCATGGATCACCACCTGGTAACACCTCCGTATTGGGGTGTATGGATTTGCTGCTGGTGAGGCTTCATTTCTAAAATGCATTAGCAGCTCGAGGTCACTTACAATAGAGGCTTTAATTAAAGTAGAGATCAATTTTTGTCAGCGCGCTAGCAGAGCACATTCTGTACTTTTCCTTCAGGAGCCACGTTCGCTCACTCATACAGAAAGCGTCACAGGGAGGGGGGAGCGCTGCAGAAAAAACTGAAGCACCAGACTCAGTTTGCAATGCTGGGAGCCAACAGCTGCTGGAAAACCAGCTGTACCCATGATCACTACCTGCGCACTGGCACACGCAGACAGCCCACGGTGCAGGCAGGGTAACGCAGTGGGTTTCGGTACATAAGAGTCTCTCCTGGGATCCTGCCTAAACAAGGAATTTAATTCGCAGACATCTTTGGTAAGCAGCACATTAGATGGGTGGTTTATGTCGGCGAGGCTGTGCGTGGCACGGCTGGGCACCTGATGGCTTTGTTTTGCTCTTGGTCCTGAGAGTCAAGGGTCCCCTGCTGTGACAGACTAATGCAAAATGCATTAGTGTTAGTGGCAAGATCTCAGGAGTCATTGCTTCCCAGGGTCTTAAAAGAAAAAGCAACCTGCACGCTGTTAATGGACACCAACTCGTATTGTTGTGCCTTCCCTCCACGCGTTACAGCTACTCGCAGAAGTTGTGCAAGTCCGGATTCAGAGCGTGCAGCAGGCAGCAGTGCTCAAAATACCACCGAGCCTGCAAACAGACTTGACCCGATGCATTTTTTAATTTTTTTTATTGTTTTGTTTTTTTAGCAGGAGGTAGCAGCAGCAAAAGGGAGGGAACTTGGCAGGGCCTGGCTGGCACCACCGGAGCGCGGGAGCTGCCAAGGCGCTGCGGGGCGGCAGCAGAGCTGTGGCCGTCTCCTCCATCAGCACACAGGGCTCCCCACTGCTCTTCCTCCCAGCACCGCAGAGCAGGGACTGCATAAGACACTGGAAAGCAGGCGGTGCTGCAAAAAATCTAAGGGTTTTATCTATGAGAAAACAAGCAGTAAAGCTGCATAAACCTGTGTAGTCAGCTGACAAAAAAGTGCTGCATCTTATTGGGGAGCAGGGAAAATATTTGCTGCAAGGACGGGGAGCTGGCTGATTCCTGAGTTCATGTTCCTCCTCTGGCTAGAGCGCAGCATTGCAGCTCGGGCTTGCTGAGCACGTCCTGCTCTCTTCTGCTCCTGTCCTCAGCTAACCCCGCCGGCAACGCTGAGCATCATTCGCCACTGGGACAAGCTCTGCCAACCTTTGGCTCTCCCTGGCATCCTGCGACGGGCGTGCAGCTGATGTCCGGTCTTGTCATCACCCCACGTCCCCAGAAACACATTTAGGAGGGCTCTACAAGGAGCACTGAGATGGTGCTGGCTCTTTCCAACCACTGTGCCTTCCCTCCTGCCTCCCCGACGTGGTCCCTGCGCCCATGGCACCCCTTCCCCCGAAGCAGAGCCCCTCTGGCCCCACGCTGCTGTGCTGCGCTGCCCTGCCAGCGGTGAGCTCGGGGCCATGGGGCAGCAGCTCTCAGCCTGCAGGAAAGTGGCTGCACCGCGCTGGGCGAGGGTGGCAGCAGCTGCAGCTCTTGGCCCACGAGCTGCGAGGAGGGATGTAAGGGGAAATTGCGAGGGGAGCACGCCCACAGGGATGCAAGCAGAAAGAAGGCAGTTCAGACCTGCTGCCACCGCAACGGCAGGCAAGGGCTGGGCAGGTGAACGCTACTTTCTGGTACGACCTCCTCACTCCGGCCTGCCAGAGCCACGTGGTACAGAGCCGGCAGGGTCCAAACCAGAACATGAGATGCTCCAGTAGCTTGGAATGCAAGAATACCATCGCTCTTTTTTTTTCCCTTTTAAAATAGGCTAAACTTAGCAGCAAGACAAGGTTTGTGGTCATGGTGCGACACCTTCCTTTGACTGTTACTTCACTTAACTGCACGTAAGGGTACAGTTCAGTTCCCACAGTCATCTCTTCCCTCAAACGCTTCCCTGCTTCTCAGTGCTTTAACTACCACTGCCAGCCCTTAAGATTTTTACGCCTCTGCTTTCTCCCTGGGATGCCTAATCTGGCGCTGTGCAGAACAACGAGGGTGCCTGGACCTTCAGCATTTCCACACTGAAGTCCCCTCCCTGTGACTGAGCTGTGTTAAGCACTTACTCTGCAAACATAAAGCGAGTGTTTACGCACCCCCCACCAGCAGATTGCACCCATTTCGGAAGCTGTTTGTTCTCAGCACATCTGTGCTATAGAGAGAGGTGTCGGTAAGTGGGTTTAGTTCTTGGGTAGCAAGTGACACCAGGATGTATTCCAAAATACACAGCCTTTCCGGGTGAAGACCTGCACTAGAAGTGACCGACGCATTCTGGCGAGCGGTGTGCCCATGGCCCTGGCTTTGGGACCTGATGTGAAGCCTCTGTGAAAACGGAATGGGCAGAGGAGCGGGCAAACCAAATTATCCCCCTTCCTTCTGTAACTCAGTTCCTCACGTGCGATACTGGACCGGTAGCCTCCAGGGAGAAGAAAGTGCACTGTCACAGGAACATTTCACATCGGGCCTTGAATTTCTGCATTTCTAAAAGTTCTCCTGAGGGCTGAGGAGGACTCTTTCGGTAACCTGCATTGGAAACCTTAAGGGAATAGAAGATTTGCAAGAGGCTGTGGTGGAGGACTTGAGGAAGAATTCTGCTTGGCCAGACTTGAGAGAAAAAAAAAAAGAATAATGTATTCATGCTGAGCAATTAACTTATTTTTCTAGAAACGTTCTCCTGCTTAAATTATAACCAAGCCCTGGCACTGCTGAGTGCTATGATTTAATACCCCCATAATTAAAGACTTTGTTGTCATCTGAAGTCCTCACTGTGCAGAGAAAAATCAGCTCAAGAGCAGCAGAAATGTTTTTTAAAAAGTCAAAGGCTGATTAACACGGATACTTGTGAGAAGGCTTCCGGCACACAGCCCTCAAACCTCCCGTCAGCCATCACCTCCATCCCCAGGCCAGAGTGCAGGCACGCTTTCCCTAGCCGACCTGCCCCAGCCTTGCCCAGGTTTGGTCAAGCAAGGAACAGCAGGGTCCAAAATATTAATCTAGGCCTTCCCCAGTAGCAGACCTGGAGTAAGATGGGTGAGACAAACCAACAAGTGACCCAGGAGCACTCGGGCACTCCGTAAGGGATGAGGGATGCTTACCCAGCACACGCTAGGGAAGACGTCAGCGCTGTTCTAGCTACAGGGAGCTCTGCTGTGCTCAAATACCGGAGCACAAGGGGAGCTTTAAAAAAAAAAAAACAAACCTAGATTAGGGGCTGCACCATTCACACACTCATCCTTGAAATGTTCCTAAGTGTTTCTTTGGGACTACTGCTTTGACACCAAGTCAAAAGTCTTTATTGTTTTATCACACTTAAGATGTCCGAATAGATCCTGCAGCCTCCTTACTATGCTTCGGCCATAAGGAAATAGTCACATAAATAATTTAAAAAAGAATTAATAGGGCCAGCGACTCGATGAAATGACAACTCTAACACAAACCAAGGGCACAAAATTTCAACACTGTATTCCACGAAAAGGACTTCCATCGCTCCTGAACATGCATTTACGTGCAGAAACACACACCTTTCTCAGAGCATTCAGGTACGGAGCTTCAAAGTATCTTTCAGTTTATGTAAACGTCCATGTGAACAAAGTGAATTCACCATGAAACTAAAGCAAGTGTCAGTGGTATACTGTTTTCACATGTCAAGACAGACGACTATGAACTTTAAAACCTCCCTCTTCTGCTTTATTGACAGGTAAATTGTTCAAAAATGTTCTCACAATTCAATAATTACAAAGACTTAGACTTACATTAAAAAAGTAAAAACCAGAAAACCCCCGAAGCAGTAGTGTCCAGCTCTAACTGAGCCCCTTTATCAAGAATCTGAGAAAAAGAGCAAGTACTGTCGAACACTTAACGTAACAGGATTAAATGTTGACTAGAACACTCAGTTTAAACTAAAGATAAGTGCACGTCCTATACAGTGTTTCAGAAAAGAACATTAGCCATTGGTATATCATTAGCCCATTTAAACCAAATTTTAAATAAGTGACATCCAACTGTCATAAAATTGGCACAGAAGGCACACTAGTGTGACAATGACAAACTGGATATGCCAGCCACTGAATTAATTACAAGCTTTTAATGAAACATGGTCACAAATCTTTGATTACTAAATGTATAATACATGGAAGCATGAGATTAAATATACACGCAAAACATCACCACTGCACGTGGGCCATAGCAAAATATACAGGAGTGTGTTGTGCATTTTTCTACATGATCAATACTTGATTAATAATCATGGGGTCTTCATGCAGGTGAGGATACAATTAATGAGAAAAGCAGCACCCCCAGTTACACATCCTTCACATTCCACTTTGGTAACCAATAAAACAGACTGATGTTTTAGTGCGATATAGTCCCTTAGATCAAGCAGATTTCGAGGGCAATGCATCCACGAGAAAGCTTGCTAGCTAAACAATGTAGTGTGTCCTTACACCAAAAAACCCAGGAGAAACAACTTCTCAGAAGGAGATAGGCAGGAACTAGGAGTAAAATTTTTTTCACAGCAGTAATTACCAATATTTTAAAAGCCCTGACTAATGACTGACTGATGAGGACTAAAAAGCAGGGTATGGGTAGAAGATAACTGGCAGTAGTCCTATGTACAAGACTAAAAAGTTGGTAGAAAGATAGAAAGACAGTTATGCAGCTGTATATGTAATGGCTAAATGAATTAAAAGGCCACAAAACTATAACCAACTTTTATTTGACTTCCTGGTGATTCTATTGATGTTGGAAACGACCTACAGCTTCCTAGCATTCTCCTTAAGATTTAGGAAACAAACAGTTATGGGAAAAAGGGAAAAGTGTATTCATTTGAGGATGTAACTAGACCTGCTCGCATTTCCTATTTAGAGGTCCAAATTGTGTCTAAAAGGATTTCCTGCTAATGAGACATTACATCATTCTATAGAAAAATAATATTCCTGATATTGTAGCAACATTATCAGTATCTCTCTCTATTTCTTTTTCAGCATAAGAATAAGACTATTTACTGGTGGCCTTAAATGCTCCTATGCAATAAAACTGTGTCACAGCTGTGCAGAAAGGAATCAACCGTAACTGAGCAGTGAACAATTCTGCATAAAAAGCTCGATCGCTATTTAGTAAAGAATTTTCTTCATTTCAATAGTTTGTATCTACAATCTAGATATATAATTATTCTTGTACAACACTAGAGATTCAGTGTCAGTCTTGGCACTAGCATCTGAGACAGCTTTGCCCTGCTCTTGAATACTCCACAGAGTAGTGGACGATCGAAGCCAGAATGGTGAGAGCGGTAGTGTTACGCGTCACAGGTTGACTGGTCCAGTCCGTCTAGCGTAAGCTGATTCCTATGAGGAGAGTTGGGACTTGGGGGACCACTTGGATTTGAGCTGTTGGATGGAGTAGAGTGTTTGGTGGAGTCTGAATCAGGCTGTTAACGAGAAACATTAAAAAAAAAAATTATGCTTACTTAAAGTCAATTCTTTACACTCCAAAGCTTTCAAAGGCACTCAAAAATTACAGTGAGCAACACCTACAAAGCAGTGTGTATTACATTTATTTCATAGCTAAACATTCATGCAAATACTTCCATTATCATCAATAGGATGTAGTGCAGTCCTGAAGGTGACCTTCTGACGTAACAGGAATTACAGCAAAGTATGTGGAAATTCCTAAATCCCAGACTCCTCTCCTTTAGCCATAGCAAAGCTGTCCTGATGGAACACATGTATCTGCCCACTGTTGTTCTAGATTTAAGAGCCTGTGTTTTTTAAGCCATTTTTATAGCCCAGGAGTAGGTTTATCTGCCCATATAAACATATAAACAGTTACGGTCAAATCATCTTCAGTTTGGTGAGAAGGAAGGAAACAAGCATAGGAACTGTTTACAAAACAGCAAGAGTGACAAGCATGCGAAATGCCTGACAAAAGAGTGAAGGTTGCCAAGTATCAGGCTGGAGATCTGGAAACAGAATATACTTACTGGAGACGCCCTACGTCAATATCCAATAAAGACAGTCTATCCACAGTTATTTCCCCACCGTTAGATTGGTTGTTGGGTATCTGCCTTCACAGACTGGTCTCACTTCAACAGCATGGCTGGCAAGTTTCCCACTATTTTGCTGAGTTATAACTCTGAGCACTGCACACATTCACAGCTAATGAAATACTGCGCAGGAAAAACTGGTACCATTGCAGCAAGTTATTTTCAAGAAAGGGAATAGATATTTAGCAAATAGATTGAAAGGCAGCATCCTTCAAGAATGCTGTTCACAAGATTTTGCATGGCTCAAACAATAATAAGATCTCCTATAACAAGATTATCCTAACATGATCCAGTTCATGCTGTGATAAAGCCAAAAGCCATGGGAAAAATAGTATAAAACCTAAAGGTGGTATTAGAGCCTCCTTTTTCAAGTTTCAAACTACTATTTTTTTTTAATTTAAGAAGTCATAAGCAATTGTAAGATCTACCAAAAAAAAAAGTGTTGTAAAAACCTTAGAATCTACCACTACTTTCGCCTACAAGCAGCAATTATCATTAGAGCATGGAATGTAATGGAATTTGGGAAGGATGCTGCAGAGTAACTACGTCAACTGGCATAGTCCATCATCAGCACCTTTGAAAAATCAAGACGGTTTCAAAAATACCCATGTTTAGAGATCCCCACTTTCACACGCTTTTAATGGCTTACTCAAGCTGACAAAGGAAGTCAGAGGATGGCTGTGATCAGAACTCTGGACAAATGCTTTGACTGAGGGTGTACTAAGGCATCCTGCAAAGGTCTGGCTTCAGGAAAACACCCTTCAAAATCCAGAACACTACATGGACCTGTAGTTGGGTACTAAAAAGCACTAAAAAGATGCAAAGATCTTGATCTAGGAGTTTGCCTCCCAGCAATAATTCCTAACACTTCCCTTGCACAGGCCAGTGCTTGAGCAAAGCTTGGAAGAAGCTACACCCATGATAAATCAAGGAAACAAAAATCATACATCTTCTCTCCTTAGATTCAGGGACACCAGTTTTGTACAGCCAGGACATTTGCAGTTTGGTGACTACTGGTGCATACTTTTACTCTTGCTAAAAGCAGTTTTACATATTTTAAAATACGATTCCTTTTCAAGTTACATGACAAAAAGTCTTCCTTAAGGCAGCACAGAAAATTACTTAACTAGTCGTATTACTTTGCTATTCTATGCTAATAGCCCAGAGAACATTTTTAGGAGCTTTGAGGACATTTCATCAATTAGTCAAATTTCCCTTGTCGACAAAGCTTAATCCAAGACATAATACTTCTTAAAATATCACCATAAAAAGATCTTTTCACAGCTTTGCTTTTGTGCTGGCGTATCTAACTTGCAATCATATATTACAGGCTGGAGAAAACATTTGTGGAAGGAAACCATCTCCATAAAGAACACGGTCCTTATGAAGTATTTCCTCAGAAATTTAATTTATTAGAAAAAGAAAACAATGTACAGCAACAGGATATTGTCAGTCTCCATTTAATAAAAGCTACTTTACCTCTTTGTCAAACTCCTGGTCAGGATCAGACATACTTCGGGAAGGCATGGCTCCTCCCACATCACTGCCACCTGTAGAGAAAGAAGCAAAAAAGGCAGGTTTACACCTCTTGTTGAAGCCATAAATTACAGCTCAAAGCTGACAAGCTTGCTTCCAGCCTTACTTGACGAGGGCCATGAAATATAGGTTTTGCTTCTCTGCTGCTGCTGCTGCCGTGAGAGGTTAGCTGTAGATGGACATGGTTTTTCATCCTGTGCAGCAGGTAGGACACTCTACAGTTGAAATGAAACACCTTGTTAGCCAGCAACAAAAGCTATCCAACTAGGAGTTATTACTCATGAAAACTTTACTGTGCTTTTGAAGCTATTACAACCCAGTGTTGGTAGAAAAACTCTGAACTTACTTGACCACATCCACATATTTTCAGTAACAGACAGAAACCCTGAGAAAGACAGAGAAAGAACTAAGCCCCATAGCAGCCACTGGAACCTGTCAGCCAGCAAAACCCTCTATGAAGGGGCAGGGACTGCACCAACAGCTCTGCTTTCCTTCCTCC